CCCCAGCCACCCCGCACACCCCCCGCCGAGTGGAATCAGGGCAGACAGTGGTGCCTGAGCACCCCGGAGGCCTCCGGAACTGGGACCCCACGTAGGAAACACCCGACCTAGGACTGGCCTGTGTGAGCGAAACAAACATTTCACAGAACTAGGCAAAGGGTGCGGAGAAAAGCGAGCCCTGTGCCTGCTGGTGGGATTGCACGCTGGGGCAGCCCCCGGGGAAATCTAGAGTGGGGGCTCCTCAAACACTGAGACTAGGACCACCCTCTAACCCCTCGCTCTTTGAAGGGTTCTGCTTGTCCTTTCTGTCCAGGTCCCTCGGTCCCTTGGACCATGAGCCAGGCCGGCAGTTCCCCTTCTGAGAGTTTACCGAAAAACACTTACTCGTAAAGATCTCTGAACCCCGTGTCCATTGCAGCATTATTCACGGGGGCCAAGCTAGGGGAACAACCTAAGTGCCCCCTGCAAGACGAGTGGACGAAGAAGAGGTTCTCGTGTACAGCGGGCAGGACTCAGCCACAGAAGGGGTGAGAACGGCACCGTGATGACGGGGACGGCCCCTGAGAGAACCTCGCTAAGTGAAATAAGACAGAAAAGGACCAGAGCCATGATTTAAAGTCAAAAGCAACAAACTAGCAAAACAAACAAAAAAAGCAACAAACTAGCAAAACAAACAAAAAAGCAACAAACTAGCAAAACAAACAAACCGGATTCCTAGACGCGGACACCAGAACGTGGTCCCGAGGGGGCGGGTCAGCTGTGCGGTGACAGACCAGACTCCGGCGGGGAGCACACGATAGGCACACAGAAGTCGGCTTACAATCCTGTACCCCTCAACTTTACATAATGTTATCAAAAAATGTTACCCCAATAACATTCTTTTAAAAGGTTTCACAAAACAGAGCTCACTGAACTGGGAACACAGAACCGAGATATTTTCTATCAGAGCTTTTTAAATGCTGATCACACCCACAAGGTAGATTTCAGTCTTCAATGAGGTAGGAGTCTTGGCCCTGGAGACATCCCGGGTCCCTCTGAATGGCAGCCCACACTCATGGAGGAGGGTCCCCTCTCCAGACCATTGCCCCCCTCAGAGCTCCTCCATTAGGACACTTACCTGAGGTTCCAAGCCCCCAACACAGCCCTGGCCTGGCTCCGAGACCCCTCATCACAGCCCTGGCCCCTCCCCGCTCTGAAGCCCCCCATCAAAGCCATAGCCTAGCTCCAAGACCCCCCATCACTGCCCTGGCCCGGCTCTGAGACCCGAGGTCCCAAGGTTGGCACTGACCTGCAGTCGGCCTCAGTTCTGGTTCTGGGCTGAGCTGTCCCCCCTCCCCTCAGGCTGCCTGACTGTACCCATCCTTAAGGCGGGGAAGCAGTGGGCAGGCTGAAACAGCAGAGTGGGGGTGACGGGCTCCCCACTGCCTCCGCCCCAGCGCAGAGCTGCCTGGGGGAATTTCCAGGAGGGGA